CTAGCCTGCTGGGCAAAGGTGTCATCTGGCACCTCCAGTTGCTTCCAGCCATATCAAAAATCAGCAGGACATGCTGGACCATCTCAGTACTGGACCACCTGGCCCAAAGCTGGTTTAGGAGTCATTTAACAGTAACAGTGGGTGCTGAGCCTGCTCGACATCCACATGCAATTGCTCTGCAGCTGAGCACACCACCAGGTTGGAAGTGGGAGCAGACCACTGCAAAGCTGGTGGGTAAGGACAAAGCAGTTGTTTTCACACTTCGTCCTCCTACAGACTCTTCCACAGAAGAGACTGATGCAGCATCTGCTGCTTTGCAAAGCAGCAGATTTCCCTTGCTGGGGACTTGCAAGGAGGGGAGGCCTCCCCAAGCTGGACCTGCCTCTCAGGAAAAGCCTTTCTGGGATTACACTGGAATTGGACCTTGGTCCCCAGAGCCACAGGTGAGTGAGACAGAAAAGGGTGCTGCCCAGGAGCCAGGAAAAGATCTTGTAGCACAGCAAGAAGCAGCCTCTCTTATGGGAAAGAGCAGAGCTGGCCACATAGACAGGCAGAGAGATGCTCCTGAGGCTGGAGGCACAGATTCTATTCCTGCCTGTGGTGCTGGCCAGCAGTTCCCAGGTTGCAGGACTCTGCTGGCTCAGTTCTTTCAGAATAAGAAGAAATTCCTCACTACCCACATCTGCTTGAAAAGCCTTGAGAACCAAGGCACGGGCTCCTCTCTGTGAGAGGCAGGAGAAATGTGCCATGGCTAGTCCTGCAAACATGCTGTTTCACCTGCAAGTTCTGCAGGACTGCAGTGGTCTCCTGCATGCAAAGTCCCCATCTGCTAGGGACCCTTGCCTTGGTTATCAGCTCCCAAAGTAGCTTCCTTTCTCCAGACAGACCTTGCAACCCTGGCCCAGAGCAAGGTCCGTCTGCTCTAATCCTTAGCCTCTCACCGGCCACGAAACGCAACCTGCACGGCCACATCACGCAGCACAGGAGTGAAGGAAGAAGTTCCCCTGCTCTCCCAAGAATCCAGCCAGAAAGAAGCCAGCAGCACTGCATGGTGGCAAGGGCAGACAGGACAGCCCAGAACAGGAGGCAGACACAGCAGACACTGCCGGGGGTGGGCAAGGATCTCCCCTTCCCCATCTAGATGCAGCCAAGGATCTTCCCTCCCGGGCTGGCATCTGCTGAGCTGCCTGGTGTTGGCTTGTCAGACCCTGTGCAGGGAGGGGTTTCTCTTGCCATGTCGGCCTTCCCGTAGGGGAGGGTGATCTCACCAGGAAGGCAGTGGCTGTATAAACAGGGCCCATCTTACCCTGCCCCGGCCAGCACTGGCACCCCCATTTTTGCCAGTGTCTGCGGGGAGGGAGCAAGGTGAGGCAGGCTGACCTGAGCTCTGGGGCACAAAATGCTCCTGTCTGAGGAGCTGGGCAGGGTATGAGGCATTTTTGGCAGACTCCTATGGGTGTCACTCCCCTTACTTACTGGCAAACAGAACTCCTCGAAGGCAGGCTTGACAAAGGTGATGTACTGAGATAAGATCTGCTCGAGGTCCCTGCCTCGCTCACTGATGTCTCGTAGCACTGCGGGGAAGATGTAAGGCACAGTCAGGAGCTGAGTCATGAATCACTCCATCCCCCTTCCCTTCAGCACAGCCTTTGGTCAGCCACCCGGGTATTTTGCCCACATTCTCTGTTCCTGGAAGCTCCTGCCCACATGTCTGAGCAAACCCCAGTCCAGCTACCCGCTTTTAACCCGCTTCCAAGCTTTCCCGGGAACCAAGGGCTGGCTGACCTGACCAAGGGCTTTTCTTGGCCTCCCTCCCTTCTCAGCTCTGCAAGCACATTCCAGCCATAACCAGTGCCACCTCAATTCTGAATGTTCCCAGCCTCAGCCCTTGCATCCCTCCTATCACTCTGCCCTGCCCTTGGCCTAAGGATGGGGCGTTCGCCCAGTCATCCCAGTGCAGAGGTGCCCAAAGAACAGAAAAGCAGTGGGGTTCATCCATGCACACATTAAGGCGCAGTTTAACTCAGGCCTGCAGAGGTGAGGAGAGTAAAACCCACCCATCTACCCAGCTCTGCCAGGCTCCCTGTGCTGTCCCCAGCTGAGTGGGATGGGAAGGCGAAGCAGGCTCCCACAACCAGAGGCTGAAGGGATGCACGGAGGAGATCAGCTCAAGAAGAAGCCAGGAGGCAAGAGGAGAGCAAGCTAGCCTCCTCCTTGTTCTGCCATTCGGGCCTTACACCCTGTTTGCGCGAGGTATTTGGGCCATTGCCATCTCCGGTCTGAACCCACTTCAGTGTGGACAACTGCCCCCGTTCAGTAGGAATTCAATCCACGGGTAAGAGCCAAAACAGCCCAGTGGCCGAGTGGCTCTTGGCTCTCCCCAAGGGGCTAGCTGGCTTCTCCCCAGCACGCTAGCGCCTGGCACTGGGTTCGGAGCGAGCCTTCTCCATGTGCCAAGCAGAGCCAAGGCACGGCACTGCCAGCCTGCATGACTTGCTCGGCAGCCGGTGCCTGTGCGCTTGCAAGGCCAGGACAGTGCTGTTCTCCCAGTGACGGTTTGGCACTGTCCCCGCAGCTTTGTTTGCCCTCGGCCAGCAGCTTTGCAGCGTGCCCTTTCACAGCCCCGCACCGGGGAGGTGATGAGGGAGAAGAAAGGGCTGGCAGCAGGATGCGTGCCAGCTCCCTGCCTGCTCCAGGAATCGCTCGGCCCAGCCCAGGCTGCTCTAGCCAGCTTCTTGCCTTCTCCAGAGAGCAGGAGCAAGCCCCAGCTCAAACAATACAGAAAAACAGACAAGGAAAATAAAACAGAGGGACTTTTGTTTCCCAGGTCCCACACCCTGCCTCTCGGCTGCTCTGGGGCAGAGAAGGAGCACAGTGAGGGTATACTTACAGCATACCCGGCCCAGGATGGTGGGCGAGAGGCCCGTGAGCCACACAGGGCAAATGCCTGGGCTGCAGGGGCTAGTCCTGACAGGGCAAAACTCTCCTGCCCGCTCCCACGGCAGACGACAGCAGTGCAATCGCCCCACACACAAACACGAATCAAGCACCCACTGTCTTGTACCTGGCCCCAAAGCAACGGGACTCAGCAACCCAGGCTAAGACCACACACCCTATCTGGAGATATCACCCTCTACTTGCAGGGCAGGCAAATGTCCCAAGGATGGATCGGCACCTGTCCAGAGCCAGCAGGTAGACGTCACTCAAGTCAGGCCCAAAACGTGTACGTGACACCTGACTTGGTCTTTGTTTTACAGAAGCTGGCTGAGGACAGGGCAGCAAGGGACCTCGGCCAGAATCAGCTTTCTACAGATCAGGCTGTTTGAGGCACCTGACAGACCTTGCCCCTTGTGCTCTGGTAGCAGCATTTTTCTTGGGAGAGGTGCTAAGATGGTGCTAAATGGAAGTTGCATGTACTGAACCCCAGTACTATTGATTAACTGAGCCGTCAGCTGTATTTCCAGGAACCTCATCTGCTGCTGCCTAGCTGGAAAGCCCATTGCTGCAACTCTTCAGGACTTCTGGGAGGACAAGATGACTCAGGGCCATGTTGCAATGCAAGATCCCAACTTTTGCCACCAGCTGCCTCCAGCTACGTTCCAGGGACATCATTGTACCTTCAGCAGCTTGCACACAGGCCCTCCTTTCCCAGAAATGCCAGGGAGACATACAGTAAACACATTTGCTGCTGCAGTGGTCCTAACAACCGCTGACATAGTCAGCAGTCTATAGTCTCAGTTTATAGTCTCAAACTGCAGCAGGGGAGGTTCCGGCTAGAAATGAGGAGGCATTTCTTCACAGAAAGGGTCGTTAGGCATTGGAATGGGCTCCACAGAGAGGTGATGGAGTCACCATCCCTGGCGGTCTTTAAGAAAAGGCTGGATGTGGCACTTAGCGCCATGGTCTAGTTGACATGGGGGTGTTAGGGCAAAGGTTGGACTTGATGATCCCAGAGGTGTCTTCCAACCAAATGGATTCTGTGATTCTGTGACAGCAGGCCAGGAGATGGCCAAATGGTCAGTTCCCTACCAGGAGGTCAATGAGTTGCCCTAAGTAGGGGACATCAGCACCTCAACCAGCCTAGCTGCCCCTTTGCAAGGCTTAGTGATTGATGGTGGGTGGGAGAAATACCCCAAGAATGGCCTGGGCCTATGTAGCTCAGAACCCCGTCCAACAGCTGCAGCACAACAAGGTTTAGCTCTGTATTGTGGTCGGCAGCTGGATGGTCTCGGGTCTTAGTCAATAGGATCTCAACCAGTTCTCAAGCCCTGAGCTCACAGTTCTGTACCGAGTCTGAAGTAACTGAACCACACACTCCAGAGTGCGATTGGGATGCACACACGGTCACATGGCACGACAAATGCACAAGGCAACGCCTTGCCTTCAGACAGCTGATACAGAGCACTGCCAAAAACGTGTGCTACCCCGTGGCTGGGTGTGAACCCAAGTTCCTGCACGGCAGAGTCTCCTTAAGGGATAAGGCTCACATTGCAGGATCTTGCAAATGCGTATCTGTGACCTGCTATTACGTCTCCCTGCAATGACTCTGCTATCACCTCCCTGGGTGAGTCATGCAAGAACAGTGGGCAGGGTCAAGAAGGATGTGTAAAAAGGAGCTTTTAATCAGCAGTGATGACACCCCAACAGCGGAGGCGGTTGTGTATCTGTCTGACAGCAGGAGGGCAGGCAAGACCAGTCCCGCAGCAGAGTGGAACAGTCCCATGCACACAAGCAGTCCCAGGCTGAGGCACTGAGACACGTTCCTCCCATCACAGCACAGAAGTCTGGATGGGACCTCTCCTCTCAGTCGTCTTCTGCATGCCCAGACACTCTGTGGAGGCTGTTTGAGCCAGGCAGGGGTAGGGACAGTTCAGACATAACTGAATCTTCCCCAAGAGTCCCCAAATACTTTTAGTCACCCAGGAGACTCAGGTGCTACATCAGTGACTCCACTCCTAAAGGCTGCTTTGAAATGAACGGCATCTCAAGCCATGCAGACCCTGCAGAGCTGGTGTCCCTCCTATGTCAGCTGGCAACCCACAGCCAAGCCAGCCGGACACAGGGAGACCTAGAGACGGATATTCTGGTTTCCAGGGCTCTTTGCCCCAAAAGCCATCATCCCAGTGCCAAGTACCACAAAGAAGCTCCACGCTGCGCTGGCTGTGCTTGCACAGAGCGATACGTACAACCAGACTCCCTATCTGCATCATCCACAACGGATACCCTGACACCCAAGTGCCATCCTCGGAGCACACTCATACCCCGGGTCCTGAGCAGATCTATCAGGCACTGCCTTCTGACTGAACTGTCAAAATGCTTTGCCTTGCCCATTGCACCCTTCCCTGCCAGTACCTGCGGACTGGCAGTAACTGCCACTCAGCCGATGGCACAGGGCTGGTTCCACAGGGCCGTGTGAGGACACAGCACACTCAGCAGTCACACCGCTGCATGCATCAAAGGACGAATCCCAGACAATGCAGTAAAAACTCCACTGAACCCTAAGAGATGTGGAACAAGGTGCTCTCCACTGCCATAAGATGCCGCCTTCTGCACTAGCAAGGAAAAGCTCCCTGACTCTTTGCTAGCAGCAGCGCAGCTTTGTGCCAGTTCCATTTCTGCTCTGGTCACTGTCACCTGCCTCTGCAACTAGCTGCCCAGGTCACCTAAGTGACATTTCTGTACCTGCTACAGAAGGCATCTTTGGGCCTCACCTCTGCGGGACAGCCGGGTGTCTGCGTCCGTGTCCACAAAGAGCTTCATGCGGAAGAGATCCCGCACCTCCTGGCTGTAGAAGGCCAGGATGCCTTCGAAGAGCACCACGTCGGCAGGGTAGACAGTCACCGTCTCCTCTTTCCTAGCAGAGGGAAGGAGAGTCAAAATATGCTGGTGGAGGGAAACAGCGGTGCTCCTAGGCACTGCTCCAACCCTGGGACATCACTGCTGCACCAGGGGGGCGACCAAGGAGAGGGCAGACCTACCCCACCATGGTGAAGGGAATCCAAGGCATACGTACACTTCCTAGAAGGACAAACGGCAGAGCAGGAAGCAGACCAGCCCTTCTCCCCCCGCCTCGGCCAGTTGCTGCTTGCAAGTGTTATGTGCCAAGCCGTAAAGCCCAGAAAGCCTAGGCATGGGGCTTGACCCACGGGAATTTGCAAGAGCCAGCTCTGCTCCCCTGGGAACTAGGTAGCACTCCCCTGACACCGCAGCACTTTCATGGGAAATGGAGCAGGGTCACACCATCCACGACCAACACAGGCATGCAAAACCAAGCTGAACACATGCAAGGGAAGAGTTACAGGAGCAAGAACTGTCATCCTCCTCCTTTCCTGGCAGTGCTGGGCTGTTTGAGCCTGGAATACTTGTTAAAACTGCAAACACAGCATTTATGGGGAAAGGAAGTGTGGATGGGGGAAGAAAAGGGGGGCCATAATCCCCCTCCACTGATGCCTGTATGTTGCTAGATGCCACTGCATGGCTCTGCAGCTTTCCAGACCCGCAGACTGTGCCTATATCTGCCCTGGATCCTCTAACCCAGAGGTCTGGAGTAGTTACGATTGCAACTTTCGGTTGGCACGTTGTGCGGCTAAGAGCGGGTGCAAGCAGAGGGGCAGGCGGTTTGGGCTGGCAGGGCTGCGCCGCAGGCTGTTAGCAGAGGCACAGCAAGACAGGGGCAGCTGTTAGACCTGGAGTGGGAGACAAAGTCATAGACAGGAATCTGGACCGTCTTCCCTTCCGTGATCTCTTTGAGCGTTTTCACGATCAGCTCGTTGTCAAAGGCATCTGAGGAGAGAGGAAACATTACCCAAGGCAGCTTTGCAACCTCTCCCACCCACCAGATGCTGAGCTTCGCCTAGCCGGAGCCACTGGCATCCCACACTGGGGACAGACAGATGCACAGACCTGGGAGGAAAGCCCTGCACATCCCCATAAGCATAGCAAGGCCCAGCTCTCCCGGAGCCCCCAGGGCTTCACTGCTTTCCACCAGCCTGGGATCTGGCCTGCAGAGATCAATACCGTCCTTGTATGGTGGCACTGACAGCCCAGGCTCAGGCAGGCATCTCCTCCAGGGCTCCAGCCCTCGGAGAGACTGAAGCAGTGTTTCAGCATTGAGTCACCGGACAGACAGAGCTCTGTTTGCTCAGTGCTTGCTGCCTCCAGCCATTGTCCTCATGGGGACGAAGGGACAGTGGCTCTGGAATTTCCCCACCAAGCCCAGAGATGGTTCAAAGAGTCCCTGTTGTAGTAACAGGGCACAGCCCCCTCGGTGGAGGGGTTTGCAGCGCAGCTGCACAAGACGGTTCCTTCATTGAAGGAGGGACATGGAGTTGCCATCTCCAGAGGGCTGTGCCAGACCAGACCTCCCTGGTCCTGACCCAGCTGCACCAGAAAGGTTTTCAGACTGAGAGATGATTTTGCAGGGAGAAGAGGAACGTCTTAGGGAGTTTGATGGTTCACAACCTGCCCTCTCGCATCCCAGACACTCCACCCCAGAGGCAGTTTGTTTGCCAAGACAGAGAGGTTGTAGCCCCCAGCCACCCTACCAGGGATGCACCTGGCTCCACAAAAGCTTAACTAAGCCACTTAACTCCTGCCCCATGCAGAGACAGAGTCCCAGTGTCCATGCAAGGCTCTTTGCTGGTGGAACAAGGGGTCCCCCTCCAGCCCTCAGCCCCCACTGCACGGCAGAGCCCCAACGCCATTCTCCATTCACCTGGGTGGTCAAAATTGAACTGGCCTTTGAGCGCTTTAGATTTCTGCTCTGAGGTGAGGACCCGGTAGAAGCTGTCTTGGCTCACAATCACCACCTGCTTCTGGCGGTAGTCCACCTCGTTCTGGCCCAGCAGCTGGACGATCTTGGAGCATACTGAAGACTGGGAAAGGAACAGCAAAGGAAGCAAGTCAGTGGGAAGGGGTGTCTGAGCCACGCCGGGAGGATGTCCCCAGGTAACAGCCATTCCTGAGCGCATGGGGCACTGCTTGCCGGATCTCTAGCCGAGAGTTCATGGTCCCCCTCAAGGGAACAGCCCAAAGCCACTGAGGGAAAAGTGTTCCAGAGGCATCACCATCTGTGAAAGCAGTTTCAGTGTGAAAGCAGCACCAAGCTTGCTCCCTGCCTCCCTCTCCTCTGTCCCTATGGCCTGCCCACAGCTCCTATTCTGGGCACAAATGGCAGCAGGAAACCAGTTGGCCGCTGCCTGGGTTTGGCTGCGCCCCCAGGGCCCCCATAGCCAGCTCCAGCCTGCCCAGCATCTCCCCAGAGGGCAGAGCTGTGTCTGGCACCAGGGCTGAGCCTCCTCCCTGGGATGCAGCCTCAGTGCCTTGGTTCCCCTAGCCCTGGTCCAGCCCAGAAACCCCACCGCAGCACGGGCAGGGAAGGAGGGAGTCCTCAGAAAGAGAAAGCTAGGTTGTTTTCATACCCTACACAAAGCCCAGGATGAAAAGACACCAGGAAGAAAGCCCCGAGACTTTGTCAGGGATCTCTGCCACAGCTGCCAGGGCTGGGAGGAGCAGCCATGAGCATATCCTGGTGCGTCTTGGCACGGCAAAGCGAAGGGCACTGCGGAGCCAGCGGCTGAAGAGCCACGTGGCTCTGGCTGCCGGTGCAAGATCCCCACGAGCGCTGCTGGCACAGGGACCGGCACCTCACATGCCGCACGGAGCGGGCTGAGTGCCGGTGGCTGGCGTTGACTCTCTGCTGGCACCACAGCAGGCACCAGCTGCATGGCCGAGGGTCATGCCGACCCCCGCCGTGACAACATGAATCAGAGCACAGCTTGAGGGACAAATCCCAAAGCCTGCTTCAGTCCCTTCTCCTTAGTCATATGAGTCCTTGGCCGCCGTGCAACACAGCAGTGTTAACTGCATCACTAACTGGCAGCCGGCACGCCTGCCCCGGCCAGCGAGAGCCAAGGTCAGGCCAGCGGGGGAGTGCTTTGTTGCCTGCGGGAGCCCTGCGCATCAGCCCCATGACATCCACTGTTTGGGGAGAAGCAGGTGCTCCTGGTGCCAAACTGAGCTTCTTCACCTCCTGGGAATCGTGCTTGCTGCAGATGCCCAGCTGAGCCGCTCCTGGCCTCGGTCACCACAAATATTCTCTGCTGAGCCCTCTGCTTTGCAAAGAGAGGTTTGTTTGCTCCAGCCTGCCAGTGGCTCTTTCCATGCTCCCACCTCCCCGCTGCCTCAACCATCTGCTCCATACCTGGCTGGCAACCTCCAGATGCAGAGATGAAGACGGCGGTGGCGAGAAGGAACAGGGAGGGGAATGCATGCCTGGCAAAGGAGGTCACCCCAGCAGGCAGAGGGCAAGGCTGTTTGCCTGAGAAGCTGGGAGATTT